ATGAAGTACACCACACGAGATTAGCTCTATATCGCAATTTAGTTGCAATGTAGGGCTAATCTTCCCAAGGGGCAGACTACATATAATTGCGTATACAAGGTATATTATTAGAATGTAGCCTGTGACACTTTTCCCTAACCTAAGGGAAACGGCCTATATAACATCCACGCGGCATATAAGAGAAAAACAGCGAATGCCCCATGTCAGACTTGCACAGGCCACCACCTTGCATATGTGAGCGCCTGGATTGCTATGGCGCGGGCAAAGGCGGTAGATGTGGTTGGAAATAAAACTACATCCGAGGTATCGTTTGCTCAGGTACCACCTGGCGTATATGATATAGGGTATGTTATATCCGAACACTGACATATTATATGCTCGAAGTCATCTATACCCATAGAAGTGCACGATTTTACCCTATAATGAGGCAGTGAGGGCCCTTATTGAACGGAGCGATATATTTGATGCTTATTGAGAGTGGGAACACCGAAATAAACTTGCATGGCGAAGTAAGTATGTGAATTTTATATGTATTTTAAAACCGACGATTGGGGCACTTTTTCTGTTCTTGAAATTGATGCTTGTTATTGGCATTTCATCGCTTTAAGTATTAGCATTTGGCTATAATGTAATAAACAGGTTTTTATACCGCTTTGAATCCCAACAGTGCTGACTTACGGTTAAAATTTTGCAAAACTAGGTCACGAGGGAGGCCCACGTCCCTTACTTTGTTTACTTTGTAGCACGTAGATCAAAGCTATACCTTACGTATTGCCCTACAAAATATATATCAGCAGTAAATCTGGACTCACTTGTCCACTACACGGCCATGATCATTATTCCTACGAGAGTCTTCAGGGTGCTCACGACACATGGACTGGAATTCGGATACTCTGTTCACATTAAATTGAATAACATGTGTGAAGGCCTTGGTCTGAGCCCGGTGGACCCATTACGATTAGTTAAACTCGTGACCGGACTTGCCTTGGGCTCCTCCGACTCTCTGCGCTTTGTCTATGATTGCAGTATAAGCGATTCAATCAGGAGTTAGGGGAGCGCTGCTACCTACGCACCTGTTGCCTAAAAACGCAATAGGATGGGAGCTACGTCGCACGAGCTTCGTGTTGAAACAAGCGTTTTAGTCCTGTACGCTGCGAAAATTCCTCAGGTGGTGTTCGATAGTATATCGTGAATCGAGTGATGGTTGGACTGGCTTATGTAGGACATGTGAATGTACTCACGTATAATTTGGACTTCATTTTTGGGTAGGGGTAACTTGGGTCTATTATTTAGTGGCGATTCCAAAGGAGCAATCACGGAAAATGCCGACTTTTAAAATTTTCACTTCAGGGGCCAGGGGTAATCGGTAAATAATTGATCACCATCCACGACTACCATACAAACCACCGTAAAACCCTAAAGAGCTTATCCGCCCCAACCACGAGTAAGGACCAGATCATGAGTTCACTCACTCGACACCTCACCGCACCATTTTGGAAAGCCTCCTACAATTAAAGATTTTCTAGGTGTTCATTGCAATACCGGGCGCCTAAAGGCAAAAGAGCGAAAGGCCAGCGGTTCTGCTTTTTAAAATGAGAAAATGTAGGGCCTGCATCTCCATCCGTAGTGCGTATTTATTATTTTTGCATCATAACTACTTCTGTCTCCTTGCGTATGCGCGAAAGTGATTAAAATATCTGTTTGTTTCGAACACGCCAATTGTCCGATCAGCCCCTTAACGGCCTTTGATTTTGGCAAATTGTCGGCTTCGAACCTGGGGACGGAATGAAGACATGTTGCGATATTATTTTCCTTAATAGCGCGCATGAGTTAATGACTTGGTGTGTTTGGCGAATTTTCTAATATTTTGGGTGACGGGACCTGACATGCCTGACATGGTGCTTCACAAAGAGGGGAGAGACGATTAGTCTAATACGATCCCTTCACAACAGGAGTATCCTTCGACAACACAAATTAACGGAACCAAGAACTGATTGTGTACCTGCCAATAAAATGTAAGGCTTGGCGGGCATCTTCCCACTACATCCGCGGACCACGCATCGTTCGCACCAGCACCTGTTATCAACCATCAAATCCACATGAACCAGTACTCATGTATTTGTTTAGGCGAATCTAGAACAATACCACCACCGTGTTGTACGACGTTGTAGGCTTTATCAGGGTGCATAGCTCTTATACCGCTTTGAGACACCAGGGAACCCTGACGCCGTTAATTAATGGGTGTCAAGCCCAAAGCGAAGGGAAATGTCCGGTAAATTTTCACGGTGAGTCAATCAAATTACTCGCCATTAGTATATTTGAGGGCCCGAGACTTACTGCGCTTCTTACGACTTGATTCGAAATGGATTTTCTAGGCCATCGCCTAGGCACGGTGCCAATTTTCAACCTTGTCAGGAAGGTGGAATTCCGGATCGAACAAAATCAACCAGAGCTTCTTTTGCGATGGGACCTACGAATACATCATAAACATCACCAATCCTTGGCGATCATAGTCGATAAGGTACCTACCCCCGTTCATTCTGATGTCTTCCCCACCCCCTAACCTCGTTAATTAGCTGACCCTAGCGTTTGTTAAAACACCAGTGAGACTTTCATGGCTTTGTGTACGACTCCACCTGTCTTTACTCATGCCCTCCGCTTATCTTTTACTTGACGTTTGAACAGGTGTCAAGTTTATCCAGTACGTCGCCTGATATTATACATCCGTCCCTTCGAACACATGGTACCTTGGCGTATGGATCTCGGAATGATCCTTGCTTCGATTTTCCTCTACCCCTCTACTATGAAAGCTGAACTCGTGGATGCTGATGATTCACCTAGACTTCCCTCCCTCGATTATTCAATTTATTGTCTCTTTTTTTGGATACTGATATGGAAGTCGACCTTGAGACCGTCAAAACTTTGGCTGTTCAAGGGACTGCGGTGAATATGGTGGCAGGTGTGTCGCGCACGGTCGTTGTTCCTGGGAACGGATGCTGAATACTGTTTGAGAAGTATCTTGTTTGACTTGTATTCTCTACGACCACCTAATCACTCTAGGTGACGAGGTTCATTTTTTCACGACGTTTCTCCCATCCGTTCGCTTACCTTTGTCACAGATCAAGATGATGTGGTCGTGAGCCTTGAATTGTGGTGCCGTCGAGTAACTATCGATTCACGTTCTTTTAATCAGATTCAAGTTCAGTTTGGCGAGAGTTTTATTTTTTCTTAATCGTTATCTGGTAGAGGGGCTGTTATTGTAAGTGTGTCGTCTTGTAAACCATTGTGCACTGATGGACGATGCCAGATTTAATTGTATATGTGTGTTCCACCCTCTCAGCGTTCTGTTTGATGTTATTCACCTTAATCTTAGCCGCTACTCGGGCAAACCTTGGGGCATCAGTCAGTCCAATTTCGCTCCTCAATTAGTTAACCTTCGACTCACTGTCTCCATAGTTGTTCGTGATATTCACTCCCCTACCACAACGACTAACCGCCTTCTACCCACAGCTGTGTATTCTATTTACGGTGGCTGGTCATGTACGAATTTTCAGGTTCTTTGTGATTTGTTTATGAACACTTCCATTTAGAACCTTGACGCTCTCCAACTCAATAATTCAAGGTAGGTCACTTTTAGATTAATGCCTCAGTACTGTCCCTCAAAAAACTTAGGCATCTTGGTATTACGACTCTGGGCTTTATGTTAGCGTCTCGTTTATTTTTTATTACTTTTTTTAATTGATCTCGGACATCTAGATCGGTCCAATAAGGTATTTACCATCGTTTTCACTTCATGTAGGCCTGTTTATTCTCAGAGCCGATTCTCAGCTCGTTCTTTGTATCGCTTTTTTCTTTTATGCTGGTGAGCGAAACGTATCAATACCTGTCGACTTAATCAACTATTCTACGGCAACAGGCGGCGTAACCACCCTTTGCGGATTAACGATCCAGGACTACGTTGGAGAAGATGTGATTAGTAAGTCACATTTTGAGTCAAATCCTCGTTTGAGTAATCATAATTCGGTGGCGAAGTCAACAACTCCCTCAGTAGCCTTCCGGGCTGCTATGCGAAATCAATACCAGCCATCATCGCAGGTTATTGGTGAGACTATCATTCGCACATATTGACTTTTGCTAAAATATCCGACATTTCTAGGATAGCTCCTGTTTGTGTCGAGAGTTCGTAAAATTCCTTTATACCCTTGGTGTAGAACTCACAATATAACAGGTGTCCTGTTCGCCCTAGTCTTTTCAAAGATATTTTACTGGTGGAAGACTGGCATATCGCCTCCTCCTCTCATCGCTGTCCTCGTGAGTTTAATGTCTTAAATTCCACGTATGAATTTAATTTTCTGGGGCATAGGTAAGAGACTCAATGATATACTTCTCCGTGTAGGTCGCTCGATAAGAAGAAATCTTTAATTTAGCTAACTTTTCGCCTCTATAGAATATTTGGTTCGTCAGGAACTTTGCTTTCTCGAAATGTTATGACCGGTGCTTACTCCTTGAGGTCAGCGTTCCTGATCTCCAACCTCTTCATGTTCTATTTCGGTCCTCCGTTCATTGCCGGCAGTCTGCTTGTGACGTGAGTTTTTGGACTTCATTCGCTCATTTTGAGGTCTAAACTAAAACCTGGATTGTAGGCCATCTGCTGCCGCCGGTTGTGTAATGGTTAGTAGTGACAATACACTGATATATGTACTCAAATTGACAGTCGATATAGGGGTCACATATGCTGCTCAACCTCCGCCAAGCTTCATCCCAATCGTGGATGCCCGCTCGAATAGTATAAGAAGTTATTAATTTATGATCGTCACTCTTTTGTTAGTTCACCTTAATTACCTCAAGCGTAACTGTAACATATTACAAACATGCTAAACCTTCTCTGCTGATCGATCGCAATCATTTACTCAAAAAAAAAAAAGCGTATAGAAATTAGGAAGATGGTAAACTTGAGCCGCGTGTGACTCCAGTTTTTCCTTTGGGATATGAATTACACCGCCCGCCTAGCTCAATCGGATAGAGCGTCAGACTCTTACGAGTTGCGGGTGATATCACATCTTAAGTGATCTGAAGGCTGCGAGTTCGACCCTCGCGGTGGGCTAATGTTGTTTTTTACTCTGCTTATGTGGCGTACCTCAATCGTAACACCCAGTAAACCCGTGTATTAGATAACTTTTTACGGAATTTCCTTATATTACGCCTATAATCTCACATTTTTAGGAATTAAAAATGACATGGAACACAAAAAATTGCTCAATCTCAACTCGATCCTTCGCCACTCAATCGAAGAAACTTGAAGATTTATCATCATCGTGATCAAACTCTCGACTCCTCCTTATCTTTTCCGATTTCGTCAACAAGGTTCCTTTGACTTGTCTGCTACAAAATGCGTGTAAAAATTGATTTATCCAACGACGTCACTCGCTCCCGACCACCATGGTCGCACCATTCCTTTCCCTCCTCCTCTCCTCTCACATTCGCCCTTTTCTCTAGCCAACGCGAAGCCGTATCAGCTCAAGAACTCGACATCGTACGCATGCCTCGACAGTTTCTATGACAATATAGCATCCTCGCAATCTGGGATGACGCGCTCGTGGATCGATCCAACAAACAGAAGGAATAGGTGTGTTATGTCTTCATCACGTATAACCTCGATAACATCGTAGGACTTTCATAGGACCAGTATTAATGCTGACTATCGCAGCACGACTCTATATATCTTCGTTACATCGGGACCGGATCGGCTGCCAAGTGTGCGCGCCGCATGCGTTTTCGACGTTTCGCAACAAATATGACCGGCTTGGAATCGCCGGAGAACGAGCCCATGGTATGTGCTCAATAAATACATATCCGATTCTTGCTTGGCTGTGTACTCTAAGAGCTCGGAGCGCCCCCATAGGAACTGCTATACCAAGGTATGTCGTTGTGGGCGCGCTGCATCGCTAGGCGTGCAAATACTAATTGAGATCTTGTAGGGTTCATATCTCTCTTAGGAAACTTCGCTTCCCTAGGCTATTACCTTTTCCACCACACATCCAACCGCATATGAACATTTCACAGTACTCGAACAGAATCGGGGCAGCGCCTAGCAGGGCTGGTGCACACACTGGGATACGGATGGGCGTAAGCATTTGGAACTAGTGGAGAGGAGCAGGCTGGAAACTGGGGAAGGCATGCAGGGGCGCGCGATTTGGCAACGCCGGATGGGGAGCTGGGGCCGTGTAGTCGTATAATGCGTCAATATGTGTAGCAATACCTATACTTAAATAGCAAGCAATATAAAATTTACACTTTCTCTCATATTAACCGTGTAGGAATGTGACAAAATTCCTAGCAATGTTTCTCTATCTATTAATTTGCTAGTGACGCATTTTCTGCAATTTAGGTATATGAAATGCGAGATAATTCGAGAGAATGTTATCTAATACATGGATTGTTGACTGGGCGTAACAACCCAACTCAATCACACTTTTCAATCCATTTCGCCCGTTTGTTAGATCATATACTGATTTGTTACAAAAATCAGTACACCGTTATTTAAGAACTGACGCTCCTCGCCAAATAATAGTACGGCTATGCAAATTATTATAAAGGAAAAATTAACCGTTAGTATATGTACTACCTCATAACTGTATTAGAACCAAATAAGATGTACAAGAGTGTCATCCCATTATTCCTCTCCCGATGAGCTAAAATAGGGTGTGTTATGACGTCTAATTATTGGATCGGTGGGTGTGTATAATCCGATCAATATAGGATTAACCTCAAGGTATAATGTCAGGAGATATCGCAGAAGGTATTGGGTGGTCTGCGATTGCAATGAGAATCGTTTAAGCCCACGTTAGGGATCCTTGAGGCTTTCAATACTGTGTGTGTCTCAAACCCCTTGGGGTCTTGTGTTTCGGTCTGCTTCCCAGTAGTATGCTGATATAGGGATGATACACCGGCGGCGCGGGTTCGGGGGTTGGCTGAACGTGCCCTACATCCATCTAGGTATGTTCCGGCACCCTTCCAGTCTCCTTCCCCTGACAACCTACATCCTGTATAATGCTAGGTACAAAAGGCAATGCCATCGAAATCACAGAATCCGCATATTCTCTCCAACCCAACTATGATTTGAAGCATGGCTGTCGGATATGGTACTTTCAAGTTGAAGGATGCATAAGAAGACGGGCAACGTAAGTGGCTTGTGCCACCATTGGTGAAACCGCATACATATGTATCGGAAATAGAATACAGGGTATAACCTAGAAGAGGCATTTGGTTTGCGCCACTCTTGGGTGTTACATTAGATCGTAGATAGAATTTTTTGGTTATCCTTTTTCCGAAAATGTGGTGTATGTTGTGACGAGCGAACGTCTTTGTTGCTGGATGGGATGCTGATTATTTCCCGATGGTATGAGGGCGGCCCGCCGATACGCGGCAGTTTCCGAAATGGCCATCTTGATAACAAAGCGTAACTAAATTGTCATCCGACCTTAGCTCAGTTGGAAGAGCGCAAGACTGTAATGGATAACTTCATCTTGATGTCGCCTGTTCGAGCCAGGCAGGTCGGAGTACTTTTTGTAAACCCTTCATCGATCAATGTTTCTTTACCCTGAATGGTTTTAGTCACACATTCAATCGAGAAATCGGAATACATAATTAAGGTACTTACTACCAATTGCAACTTATGCGTACTTAAATTATTTTAAAGGAGGTTTTAATTATAATTCACGCACTAAATAGTGTGAAAAGTAATATCTGAAGGTGCGTCACTAGTATTATACCGATAATTACTGTAGATACTTGAATTTAAATAAATTCCAGATGCACCTATCCGTGATGGGATGATGAGCCCGTTAGTGTAGAGACACCGTGTTAAACGTAGCATTTAGCACCCACGGAACAAGATAAATCGCGAGGTACATGCTTAACGTCGTTGCCCTGGAACGTGGTATTTCCAACAATTGGTGCCAAAGTCGTAGACGCGTTCTAAATTGTCAGTATCGTAAATCTAGTAATGAAAATATCTTAGTATTCAAACAACCCCGTAAAATGTAAGAAAATTCACTTTGACGTAAACATTTTCCCCTCCATCGAAGATTGTGGATATTAGTTCGTCGGAGGGTTCAATAACTCGTTTGTTGGAAGTGAGTTGGAATGTCCAGCCTTCGGGAAGAGGAAACCCATCTTCCATCATAATGCCACCTTATCCGCCGGTCGTTTGACTTGGAAAAATCGGAATGATAGGTCAACCGGTCACTTACGGACTGTGTCAAGCCAGAACTCTTCAATGGTTGCGTATTCGTTGACATCTGTCCCCCGAGTGGGACTGTATGATCCACGACGTACATTAATCCACATATAACCTTTGTTACGATACCCCTTTTTGTGCCAGCCTGCACCACGAGCACTCCGAGAACTCCTCTGCTGGCGATGGATGGACGGGGAAAATGTGTTCAGCATAATTGGTCGAGGCCCAAATCGAGTCAAATGACTTTCCGGTCCTCGAGTTAGTCGTTTGGGGGATATTGGGCTGGGAGGATTTCAAAATTTTAGCCGAAAAACTCGAGAAAGAAATTTTGGGGAAGTAGAGGCTGTTTACCTAAATGTTGTAATAAATTACCTGGCGGAGTGTGGTGTTGTTGTCCGGCGCGTGCGGCTACAAGCTTTAGGCCAAACAAAGAAAATCCGGAGTTGCCTTTCAACCTCCCCTTTTATGACCGAAACCAGAGCGTCTGAGTATAGCCATGGGCATTTCTAGCATCTCGAGAAGTCAGTACTCGCTACGTTCGAAGGAGTTATTGTTACTTTTGAAGAAACTATGAGCGACAAGGTATGATTTTCGAGTTGTGAAATTGGAGGACTAGATTTACCCCGAGTAGTTGTGATTGAAAAACAGCGTTGGTATGTACCTCTTATAATTTTATAAATGCTATTCGTTCAATGAGCTGTAGGAAAATCAAGTGTAGCTTGATAAAGATAGCCAAAAATTCACCTGGGGGTATGTCCGGGTTACTAAATCTGCACGGACCTTGTTCCGATTATCACCATTAACTCTTCCGTATCGCAGCTACTGACTATGGGAGCCCAACACTTGATAGGGATATTAGGGTTAGTTCCTCACCCAAGGAAGGTAGTGCGAAAAGATTCTATGAAGTCAGCGGTTATGAAGGGGAACTGGAACAGTACTATGATGGCGAAAATGCAGATCCGGATATGGATCTAATGTCATTGATCGCAGGGGGGGATATCCGGGGGTGGTCCCCGAGAATCTTGGAAAACTCAATCCACCTGATGAGTTCGACACGGAGCTATGGGCGATGTTCCAAATTAGAGGGTATTTCCAGGTCGCATACAAGGTACCTTTTTCCGGCATTTTTTTCTATGAGGATATCTAGAACTCATGTTTCTGCTTTTCAGCACATCATTGACACAGTGCCACAGATGGTCGACTTCATTTTCCTTAAGGCGCCTGGCGATGACCTAATGCCGTTCCTGATCTCAAAACTTGCACTGAGGACTGAGTATTCGAATGTGCGTTGTGCGATGAATTTGGCGGAGGGTCCTCTCCTTGTTCCGAGGGAAAAAAAAGTTGAAAGCAAGGAAAGAGAGGTTGGAGGAGGTTTAGATGGCGTTGCGGAGCTTTGGGATCTCGTCTAAGCGATGAGGTATACTTTTTGGGGATTTGTGCTGATACTTCGCAGCCCCTTGTAATTTCTTGTTCTACTATTATGTTTGTATGCGTCTCTAGTGCTCCTAAGTATTTTTTGTACGATCGTAGCACTTCATGGAGTTTTCTAGATTATGAGAAAGTCCGCGGATGTTACAATCCGAAGCGGGCCGGTATATCCAACCGGAATTGTTGGTGCCTGTTGACTTTTCTATCTTGGACACGTATCACCACCATCTCCAATGTTCGACTCGTGCATAGCCCTCGAATAATCCCTAGGTGTAGCATTTAGGACCTGAATATTTCTTGAATTTGCTGAAGGTGCGTATTTTGTTACCTTTTCTACTCAAAAAACCTAATCTGCGTGATAGGATCGTAAATTAAAGACGTCTCGGTCATGTTGACTAAACAGTATGTGCTCTGATCTCCATAAATATAACGTGCCT